AGAGACTCCAACGGAGTTGCAACATTTAAAAATAAATTGCTTACTCGAATAGCCCCAACACTTGACAACACTTCAGTACTGTTCCGCCAATTTCAACGTATTTTTCCATGCGATAAATCCAAGAGGCGGAACAGTTCCGAAAATCGATTTTCGTTAGCTAATTACTGTAAGTTGTTTTTCGACAGCGTGAATGAGGCTGTCGCTGTCCTCAAAAATCAATCCTTTTCACGTCGTTATTCGCTGTAGGGAACAGCCAGAAGTTACAGATTGACTAATCAACTAACGGAACTCGATTTTCGGCACTGTTTTGATCCTTGGATTTATCGCATGAAAAAAAAAATGCATCGAAATTGGCGGAGAGTATGCTGAACAGCATCGAAGTGTTGCCAAATTATGTGGCTATGCGAGTGAAGAATTTTTTGGAATTGTTTATACTCCGTTGGATCTACTGCAAAAAGTTTCAAACCTTATGAACCAACCCTCGTATATTTCTTTTGGTTCCGGAAGGAAAAGGAAAAAAAAAGGAAAATGCTTCGGGCGCGGCGAGGACTTGTCTCTCCTATTATTATTTTTTTCGTGACGCAAAAATCCAAAATTTTTTTCGATGATTTATTTACACATCAGGTGGGTTCCGATGTCAGATTGATGACTTCAAGGAAGACCGAAGATTTTAGGAATAGAATTCGCCGAGGGCCTCGAAAGGAGCTAAATTTGAAACAGTCGGGGCTTCTTCGGCATCTGAACCATTCGGGCCAAAATTTCGTGATTCATATTCGAGGAAAAGAATGTTGATTTTATTATTTTCTATGGTATACAGTAGTACTCTTGTGAGTGAGCTTGACGTACGGGAAATAGATTGACTGCCTTGGACATGTCTCCTTAATGTTTTTGCGACGGAAAAATCTACCTTTTTCTATGATATATGGTATTCACGCATGAAGTGTGTTCCTGTGTCACATTGATGACTTCTGGGAATGCAGAAAACGAATGTCGTGAAGGCTTTCGAAAGTGGCTAAATTTAAAACACGCTGGATTTCTTCGGCCTCTGAAAAATTATCCAGCGAATCACGAAATGTTTTCCCAGAATTTCATGAAGCCTTTTAGCAGAGGAAGGCAATTCTGTTCATGATTTTGTATCTAACTTGACGCGAAAAATACGTCGCCAGGCTTAAACTTATTCAAAATATTGTATACAAAATATATAAAGGGGTTGATTTGTCTGAAAATGACAGCAATATTTCGTACTGATCGTAAGTTATATTTGTTTCTGGTATCCTCTGGAGCTACATGTGATTATAAGCAGTCACGGTGTCATATTTCATTTTTTCGGATTCCGTACGTATTTTTCTGAATGGTCAGAAGATGATTTTTACCTTACAGTAATTCAAAGATTTTGTCTCTTGTCATTTACTCAAGGCCTTCTATAGGTTTTTTTTCCATAGCCCATTTCAATGCATTGAAAATTGCGTGCGCATTTCATCGTCAATGTATGTTTTTCACGTTGTGCAGAGAAGAATCTTTGTTATTTTTCTTAGTAGACTGGAAGCTGCGCGATGTGAAACATCTTAATTGAGGTTCGGTTGACCGAAGAAACCCTAGACCCTTTTTATTTTTTAAACGTGTGAAACCGCATAGCGTATCGTAATTTATGACTCTTCTGATTTTGTGATTTCTCTCACTTCTGCCTTGACGAGTTCATTTGTAGCACGAATTCCTTGCAACGCTCCGATGGTCATACCTCTGGAGAATTATTTCTGTGGAAGAATTTTTTGACTGGTGTGTGAAAAAATGTAAATGACTCCGCGTTTGATGTAAAAACTGGTGTCACAGCTTCTGGAATCGAGGAGAAACCGACTTATAAGGCTGCATTATGAATATTTCGGTCAAAGCCTGGTTTAGACGTTGAACTTGCTGCATATTTTATGCAAGAGCTCTTCACGTTTTACATGCTTCCGCGGGATTTGCATGAATTCACATTAATTTACAGGTTTCCTCGATTCTATTTGCATCTGCGTGAAATCCGTTTTGTCTGAAAATGAGATCAAGTACAGTAACTGACAACGCCATTCAGAAGTGGTATAGAAACCCTCTGTAACGGATCGNTTGTCACGTTTTCCTCAAGATACTTGTTCATAGAAAAAATTATCTCGAAATGTACTACTTGATCAACCCCCAGCAATTTTTTTTTTTTTTTTTGTGGATAATCGCAAACTGTTCAACACAAGATCTGTTTTGTCTCGAGATATCCTGTACAGGTGTGTCTGAAGAGCCGTTTCGTACCTTATGATATCGGAAATGACGTTGTTTTGGTCCTGTGCTGAAATGTCCGGTCTCAATTTCTCATTTCCTGAAGCCTATGTGAAAGCAGATGGGTATGGGTGTTCCACATTATTTCAAATCGTTTCCGTTTCCGCTTAATTTTGATGCCGAATTTATTTTTTAATTTCTACATTGTGTTCAGCTGCGAAAACAAATAGTTTGCCTAGTAAAAAGGCCGCTTCACTTTCGGTTGTTCATGCCGGTTTTAACGTTCATTGTCCTTGTCCCAGAAACCAGATTGAGGCACGTGAAGCAAATGGCTGAGTTAATTAGGCATTTCATCCTGCGTGATAGGCTAACTGGCGATGCCTCTCAAAAGGGTGAAAGAAAGTATTTTTTCACCTGTCCATAAAAATTGGTGATCTTTCGTTTTCCGTTTTACTGAACCGTTCCCAAAAGTTTTTGTCCGAGTTCCTGTTGCATGGACTTCAATTTAAGACTCTCGTTCATCTTCAAGTGCGGACATAACCGAGTAATTGAATATTTTCACCCAAAACTGGAAGGCATTCTTGTTGGACTTTCGTTATCAATAAACTGGGAAATGCCGTCTGGGTCATTATGCCGCTTTTTGAGTGATCCTAAAGGAATTCGGTAAGCTGCAAAAAGTCGGTTTAATTTACGGGACCAAGGAGATTTTGTAGATCTCATTCATGTAGTTTACCCAAGAACGTTGAAGAATGGGTTATCCACACATCTGTATCAACTTTTTTTCGTATATTCGGAACCATGTTGGTTTTGAAGTGTTTGTGCGTACATTTTTGTCGTTATGTGATTCTACAGAAGATATTCGTTCTGCGAAAGATGTTACACAGTCGTGCATGGATGAGTTTGAACATACTGTATTGTGCCCCAAGTAGAATAAGAAAAAAAGCTCATTTTAAATTTATACTGGCAGCTTCGTCGCTCTAGATTATTCGAAATTTGAACCTAGTTGATTGAATTCGATGTTTTTTAATGTCCAGAAAATTTATGTTTTGTTCCATTGTGAACGGAGAAACATTTAAATTCAAGTTCCGACCGTAATGATCATAGACGTGCAGTAACGGTTCCACGGGAATGAAAGCCACAGACTGATAAGAACTTGGGCATTCAGTTCTCAGGAGTTTATTTATTTATTATTTTTAAACTGAAGTTGGACAGACTTTTCCTAGTTCGCCCTACAGAACATTTACTGGAACTGAGTCCTAGTGCATCAACAAATTTACAAGTGTTCAAGGCCTAAATTATTCGTGGTAATAAGAAACCGGTAATCTGATCGAGAGGTCTTAATCATGAGTTTCGTCCGTTTTGTGCCTCCCATAATTTTAAAATTAAAATATGCGATCAGAAATTAATCCTTGAATAAATTTTTGTTCAACCAAGTTGAAATTGAGAGAAGACGAGAATTCGTATCCTCGTAATGAAATGAAATTATGTTTACGCGATGCGTGTTGATCCATGTGAAAGCAGTCGAATTTCTACAAGTTACATTACTGTACATTGACAAACCGTCGCGGTGACAAGATACCAGATATGACAACCATTTTTCACTAAAGAAATGCTCTCTAATCGTGTTATTTATTGTTTATAAATGATGTCGGATGCGATCGATGCACTAAATTTCAATCTGAAAGTAAGTCAGTTTTACTCTCGAATAGAAATCGAGAGGCCTGTTGATTCAATCGCGGTCTAATTCTTCTTCCGAAAATGTGACAAAATTTCGAACTAAGCTACTGTACAGTACTTCCATAAACAGTTGAACTGTAACAAGTGACCAGCGAAGCAAATCGAGTTAAGGAAAGAAGCATTTTTCTGGGTAATAGATGGAAGAATTACAAAGGAAAATGTAATCGGTGATATTCTTGGGTCTAAATTGCTTCTTAAATGAGTTGATTTCATGCCGAAGTTGGAGACAAGGGTTAATTTTCCCAATTAGTCTTTCACTTCCCTTCAAAACACATCTTTACACTTTTATTGATTTTCTAGTTTCCGTATGACTAAGAAAAAATCTGAAGGCCTTTAGAAAATTCGATTTATGGAGGTTTGAGGGAGAAAGCCTTTGAGTTACGGAGGTTTTTAATGCATTGTTTCTATGGGAATTCAGGCAGGGATTAAAAGATTATTAATTCTACATACCACAGGTTAGTATTCGACTGAGGGAGTTTCGAGTTTTCAAGGTTCAACTGTACTGTACTACCTTTGAAGGTTGTGGAAATATTTGTGGGAATATTTGCGGTTCATTGTGTGTATTTGTGAGAGAGTACGGTTTGATTTCGATCCAGCGGGACTCCGACTTCCTGCCTAATCATTGCGCACATAAATATATGTAATATACATATATAGTACAGTATATTCAATATACCTATATATATATATATATATATATATATATATATACCGTATGTGTGTGTGCGTGTGTATGGAACGGCAAAGGGCCGAGTCGACTGTGAATGAGCATTGTGGATTTATCTGATCAGCAGGGAAACTCGAGTTTCTCACCCCAAAGCAAATTGCTTCAATTTCTCTGCCGCGCCAGAGAAAGAAAGAGGCTGAGGCTGCGGGTGAGCGCCTGGTGCTGCGATTCCCAACTTCTCCTCCTCTGTCTCCGCAGCGAGTTCAGTTCTCTGCTGAAGTCCAGAGACGCTGCTTGGAGGCTTCATTGGAGTGAGTGAGTGAGTGGAGGAAAAAAAAAAAAAAAAATATATATATATATATATATAGAGCAGACCAGAAGAGAACAAGACAGAACAGTGCTTCGGGGTTCGTCTGTTCCTGGCTTGGTTGTTCAACAAGCCAACGGTTGTGTGAGTGTGTGTGTGTCACGGGAAATCGGAAGAAGAAAAAGAAAACTGGCTGCTGCTGCTGCTGGTTGAGTGATGTTGAGTGCTGTGGTGTGAAGAAAGAGAGAGAGAAGGGTTTTTCGTCCATTTTTTTGTTTGTTCTCAAAGTGAGAATACCCGAGGCAGGTTTCCGTTTTTTCATAAATCGGAAAGGATGCGTGGGATTGCGACGATTTCAGCGACGTCTGAGAAATTCGCCATTCCGGTGTGTGTTGTTCCCTTGCTTCCCGAAAGCGAGGTTTAAGTGATTGATGGTTTCTAATGCCCCCCCCCCCCCCTCCTCCCCTTTGGATTATACTCCATGCTTCTTACTTCTCTTCAAAATTTGGTGCTTAGGGTGAAAGAACTCGGGGATTGATGGTTTCTAATGCCCCCCCCCCCCCCCTCCTCCCCTTTGGATTATACTCCATGCTTCTTACTTCTCTTCAAAATTTGGTGCTTAGGGTGAAAGAACTCGGGGGTTTTTCTTCTCATCTTCCGGTGGCTGGATTTTTATTGCGCAGCTGCGGTCATCTTCGCATGGAATTCGTGGTGTTTATTCTTACAAGATATGATGATGATGACGATGTTCCATCATACCGTTAAACTGATCTGCGATTTTTTGTTGATGTATCTGTTTAGTTTATGGGGTTTAGTGAAAACTCTTATACTTACCGTGTCGGGGCTGTAGTCAACACTCCCTCCCAAAAAAGCTTAAAAAAAAAAAATATATATATATATATATATATATATATTGGACATGTACATCCGATAGATTCACCGCAGTGATGAGATACAATTTGTTCATTCAGTACAGTACAGTATTATAGATTTATGTCGATGGAAGGTGATTGGAAGAGGGGAACATGCAATGGACAAAAAAAATCTCCACGAAGAAGACCAAGGCCATCATTGATATATTTTTTAAAGCGATTTTCTTGGGGCATTTTTAACCGAGCGAATTTAATCTTCTTGCCATTGCATTTAACGGAGAAAATGCATTTATTGTGGTCTTCCATGGGTATTTTAGACGCATGTTGTCTGTCCTGTTGAATATTTTCACGCGGCTTGTGCGAGTTTGATTTCTTTGTCTTTAAAAATATCTGTTCAAAATGTGGCTTATGATTCCGTAAATGCGGCCATGATTTTCTTCTCAATCTTCTCTTTCAATTCACTCTCCGAGACGAATAATTACGGCTGGAAGGGATGAGAACTTCATTAGCCAAGAACTCCATAAATCCCACCATTTGCAGAGCCGTCACGGATTGAATTTCGAGATTTTTTTTTCGACATTCGTAAATTTTCCACATTTCCGGTCTGGAAATCAAGGTTAAAATCAAGGAAGTGGATTTTAAGAAAATGCCTCATCCGCATGAAACGTTGGGTGCAGAAATCTCAAAAAGAAACGAAAAATTTATTTTGAAATCCGGAAATAATTTTCTTGTTTTTTGTTCGTTTCGTCCTTGTTTCAACAGGATCAGTACGAGAGCATCGCCACACACACCAACAAGGGCGTGGAGTTCCTGGAACGCCTCGGGCACTTTGTGCGAGACAGGAGCAACGTCGAGATTGAATACGCTTCCAAATTAAGGTGAGCCCCCACTGTTCGATCAATTAATGTATTAAAATCTCTCTCTCTCTCCCTTGTGGAAATTGCGTGGTAGTCAACGAGTTGAATTAATGCCGAGTCTCCTTCAGTGGATACGCTGCGATTATTAATTGATCGTTAAAATGCGTGCGACAGTTTTTCGTCATCAATGTTGACATTCTTTAACTTGAGAAACGCGACGAAAGAAAAAAAATTGGTTAAATTCAAGAATCTTCGGTTTTTCAGTCAAAAATGATTACTTTGGCTTTTTTGAATGCCCAACTGATCCGCTTGCATGAAGGAATGTTTGTGAATTTCACAGAACGTTCTGGGAATGTCCGAAAAGGTTTATTTTATACTTTGAATCACATTTCGCGAAGCTCGGAAGAGTGATCTAATGCAATGCTATTTCCGGAAACTTTCAGTCGACTGAATGCTCCGATTTGTTTCAGCATTCAAAGTTTAAAATCTAGGAAAATTCAGGTCTGAGGTTTAAAAAGTTGCATGTGCATTTTTATGCGTTGGTTGATCATGCATCATATTGAACATCGTAAATATACAGTATATTAATGTACATCATCTCATTGAATTTTCTAGACTGCGATTGAGTTGTTTGAATTGCAATAATTTGCATGTGGTTAACGTCGTCGTCGAAGTGAAGTACAGTATGTTGCTTTAAATCCAAGGAGAATTTTTTTTTTATGAATCGAATTTTTTATTTACAGTATACCTTGCTGCTTACGGAATCAATATTTTATTTTATTTTTCGGAGAGCATCCAGACAAAACAATAGCAAAAGTTTGTGCTAGCCTTTGAGACAATTTTATTTAATGTTTAGCAGTTTTTATAAGAGGTAGAAAATAAATATGCGGTTCGTTGTCAGGAATTCTAGATTTCGTCAAGTGTGACGTTTGAGTACTTGTAAGGTATTCTAGAAAAATCCCGATTCTCGTTTTTTCCCCTCACGGGAATGTTGAAGGCCAGAGTGAATTGCTCGCGAAAGAATGGCAAGAATTTTTTATGTGAGTTATTAAAATTCTCGCCGGATATAAATGGGATTTTTCCCGAAAATTCCGCCGCGAACGCTGGATCAGGAGAAGTCGGAATAGCGTGACGTGATTCCGATCATGAATTGAAGTATGTGGCAATTCGTCCCTCGGGTATCGTCTAGGATTCTCGCTTGTTCCGATCCATATCTCGATGATTTAACGCGGTAATTAGTGTTGTTTCCGCAGAATTTTGTAGAATTTCGGGAGGAAGTAGCCGGTACTCTGTAAATTTTGGAAAGGTTAATCTTTTCACGCCGCGATGCGGTGGAGATGCAGTTTCTCAATCCATTGTGGATGGTGGCTCAGGAAAACATGTGGAATTGTTCAATTTCCTTGAATATTGTAGCTATCATCTTCTCAAACACGTCGAGACAGTTTGTTGCATTATTTCCCAATTTTAATGCTCCACCTTTATTAATTTTACCCCGGTGTCATTTAAAAAGAAAATGGAATCATTGCCACATGCTGTCATGCCTTTATAATTTATCACTTTGATTTTTTTAATTTTCAGAAATGTTGATCCCGCTTCAAACTAACGTTGAGTGTTGCTGTCGGTCCATTAATGGCGCCTTTCAGTTACTTTCAAGAATAAATTTACCGCTTCTTCTTCATTTTAAAACTACTTAAGTAGTTAGCAGCGTATGCTCGGTAACTATTTACTCTTTTCAGACGCGAAACAACTTTATAAGTCTACGGCACTACCCTGTAATTCTCGGATATTGCTTTCTTGTTTGAACCGGGATTCATACAATTGACTTTGAAAATACACATATGTGAGAAAGGACTGTATTTCGTAATTTTTTTGTGGGCAGTCCTTTTTTGACATCATGGGAAATTTAAAAGACCAAGTTGACTTTTGCTTGAAATTTTCAAGCCGTGAGCTGCAAGCGTTGGGGAAATTTTCATCTTCTGGAATATTCGTCTAAACTTGTTACTTAGTCGTCATCTTTTTCATGGTTATGTTGGACCGTAATACAGTATTAGCTTTTCTAGTTCCGAGAAATTGTGTTTGATGGTACAGTAGATCAAACTTTGAGCCAGAGACGGGAATGAATCCTCTCTCGATAATTTCCCCATCTGTTTGACTATCTAGTAGATCTAATGTATAACTGTATAATGGATTATATTGTAGATATTCTCCGTCAAGGTTCGAGCTAGCCAGCAATTAAACCCGCGTCTTGCTGCTTCAATTACTCTCTTTCCCTATGCTACTCGCGGAAGTTTTCTCACGCGTCCGCGAACCCGATTCAGAACAGGCACAGTTCTTATTTAAATGGCGAAGAAGAAGTAAAATTTTGATGAATTCATCAATCGTCGCATACGAGCCATTGATAAATGAGAAAAGTCTGCGCTTTGTTGAAATATTCAGATGCCGTGATGGGACATTAGCTCCGATATTGCTTTCTTGTTTGAACCGGGATTCCAACATCTAAGATTCATACAATTGACTTTGAAAATACACATATGTGAAAAAGGACTGTATTTCGTCAATTTTTTTTTGGGCAGTCCTTTTTTGACATCATGGGAAATTTAAAAGACCAACTTGACGTTTGCTTGAAATTTTCAAACCTTGAGCTGCAAGCGTTGGGGAAATTTTCATCTTCTGGAATATTCGTCTAAATTTGTTATTTAGTCGTCATCTTTTAGTTCCGAGAAATTGTGTTTGATGGTACAGTAGATCAAACTTTGAGCCAGAGACGGGAATGAATCCTCTCTCGATAATTTCCCCATCTGTTTGACTATCTATTTAGATCTAATGTATAACTGTATAATGGATTATATTGTAGATTATTCTCCGTCAAGGTTCGAGCTAGCCAGCAATTAAACCCGCGTCTTGCTGCTTCAATTACTCTCTTTCCCTATGCTACTCGCGGAAGTTTTCTCACGCGTCCGCGAACCCGATTCAGAACAGGCACATATTCTCCGTCAAGGTTCGAGCTAGCCAGCAATTAAACCCGCGTCTTGCTGCTTCAATTACTCTCTTTCCCTATGCTACTCGCGGAAGTTTTCTCACGCGTCCGCGAACCCGATTCAGAACAGGCACCGAGGTCATTCCCAAGTAACTAATCAGATGCATCAGCACGAACTTGCGCACAGTTGCGCGTCTGTCACTTCTCAAAATGGGCTGAAATCCAGGCGCGAGAAAACGCGGAAAAAGAAGGTGATGATGACGACGACGACGACGTGGGGGCCTCTTTATTGTTTTTTTTTTCTCTCACTTCCCCTGGGGTTTGTTTCCTTCCGGGTTGTCCTTGACGTGTCTTCGCTTGTTTCGTCACTTCCTGTGTGTATCTGTGTGTGCATCTTCCATTTATTTTTCAAAAGAAGAAGAAACTGGAAGGGCTGATTAAAAATGTATGTTAGTATACGAACACGACGAAAAGAAATATAAGAATTGGAACAAATGAAACTCGTGCAATCAGCCAGTTTGCGGCCAATTCAAGGGGACACTTTCAATATATACAGTAAAAGTATGTTCCTCGTTTTTTTTCCTGAACAATTTATTGTGTAATTTGTTGGCATATACACTGAAAAATTCACGAAGAACTCTGAGAAGACTACGCACATGAATGAAGGAACTATGTGCTCAAATAAAAAAACAGACATACAGATTGTCAATTATGAAAAAAGAGAGAAAAACAATTTTTCTAAATGAAGTTTGTGGGAAGATTTTTTTTTTAGGTGTAATAAAAGTTAAGGAGGAGGAAAACCTTTACTAAAATTTTCATTGCATCCACTTCCCAACTTTCAGTACACTACATTCAAGTGAAGGTCTTCCTCTAAGTCTAAACCCTGGCTTTACAAGCAGTAGTGTGCGAATTTTCCCTCGTATGCGTGTAGACTTTTCAAGGAGTGGTAAAATGGTGCATAAATTGATCTAAAATTAATGAAAAAAATGTCACTTTTTGAAGAGATTCAAAAGATAGCACAGCGACCGACTCGGAAAAGGTGTCCCATCCGAAAGACTCAAATGTTTCATTTCCTGGAAATCTGGATGTGAAGATTTTGTTGTTGTTGGAAATTAAAATGTAATGACGAATGAATACATTCTCAATTTGAGTTGGACCAACCGAGTTGGCAAACAAACTCTGCAATATGTCAAACGTGGTGAAATCCGCAAAAAGGTTAAAAATAACCGTGATATAAACCACTCGGAAGTCAATTAAAATACGGTATGTTCCTTCGCTAAAGATGTTTTTCAATCGAAGTGAACTTTTTGATAACCAGTAGGCATTTCATGCGACTTCCTCATTCAACATCACTGAAATGGATAACCTACATGAGAAAACTCTGTTACATGCAATATTACGAATTTTTATAGAAGTTGGAGGTGCGCAAGCTTATATAAAATGCGTGTGTGTTCGGTAACCCTTATTTCTTCACATTGAACGGTTGCACTTTCACCTTTTGCCTTTTCTCAATTTGAACCTGGGTGGGCAAAAATTTGGCAAGTATTCGGGAAAATTTTCAGGGAAGGAACTAAAAAAAAAAGTACGCTCTTTTCTTATGTATCCAGCAAGACGCCAGAAAATGGAAGTACAGCACTGAAAAAAACTTGAGAATCAGCCTCACACTTCTTTTTGTGAAAGCAGCGGAGATGGTAACAGGCGAGGCGTGTTAGAACGATTATGTGTGTGTGGGCTGTCTTACATTTTTATTTTTGGGCGTTCCTTTTAACGAGTACCCTTGCTTTTTGACGCGGTTACGAGATGCGGTGGTTTTGCACAAAAGAAAAAAAAAGCGAAGTGTTGGTTGCATGATATCACCGTCATTGTGTTCCCAGGCGGTTATTTCAGGGCGGGATGAATGAACCGCTATTACCTGTTTTTAAGGGAACGCAACTGATGTGGGTTTTCCAGAGACTTTGATGTGCATGGGAGAAATTCGTGTTGCTGGGAGTTTAAAACTCGCAACTCCTTTAATCCTTTTTTGTTTTTGAGTGAGTGTGTGTTCGTATGTCAGACAAACTGTTGTTCATGTGAGTTTATTTATTTTTTCGCCTGATGCAGGGTGATCGTTGTCTAAATTGAGCTTCGCTTTTTTGAGTCTGGCTGGCTGGATGGATGAATGGATGGGTCCGTAATTCAATTTCCTGGGAATTTTTCTCACAATAATAAGTTCATCACGTCCTGGCCAAAATTTAAGTCGGCCATCTAGACGTTACTGAAGTTGGCACTGGAACGGGTAAATTCTTTTGGTTGAAGTCTGAACACACTACTTTGTTTTGAATGCCGTTTAATTTCTGCTGTTCGAAGGAAATTTCTGCCCAGGTGGACAAAAAACTTGAAATCTCCACGCTGACAAACTTTTGAGCTATTCCTCACATCTTCTTATCAAGTACTGTATAAGTATAGAGATTCACTCAGTTGAACAACTGTGAGGTAACATTAGCTTCTGCTTCGGGTATCTGCCTTGATTTAAAAAAAAGTGATTTGATTCAAAAACTTCCATTCTATGATGAGCTCCCATTCCAAGTTTTACTGCTTTCACCGTAAAATATAAGAATGAAAATTCGGGTACAAGTGGAAGCTGTGGCGCCATCGTTCTACGAAATACTGGAGTGCATAACGCTTTTGTTATTTCCATCAAAGCAATCGCTTGCAATGTCGGCTTATTTTTAAAGCCCTGTCTGAAAATTTATTATAAAACTTATATCCTTCAAATTTGAATGCTTGAGTTTGATTCACCAAAAATATGCGAGTTCCGTGGATTTTGATAACTGAAATAATCAATCCTGGTGCAGTAGATTGGGAATAAAAAATGTGTCGCTCAACTTTCCTTGGCCAAATTTCTCAGTGTTTTGTGTTTGTGACAATCCCAACAAAAGCATAAAATTAAATGCAGTGGAAATACGGGTCACTTTGAACGTACTTTCCTAGTTTTTTCTCATGATTTATTGATGTATGTAAGCTTTGCAGGAAAGAAACATTCCAAGGAATGTCACAATTTACAATGAATCAAGAAATTCTGCAGGGTGAAAATGAGCGCATAAAAAAAACATTTCAGAAAAGGAATTCCCATTTATTCCCAATAAATGGGAATTAAAAGTAGAAAGGGAAAACCAGAATAAAAATAGTTGTGATAATCTGATAAAAGTGTAATTTATTTAGAAGAAGTCAAAGTGAGTAGAGGGAAAACCTTCACTGGGCTTTTCCCCATCATTCTGGCTCCACACAATCCTATGTGGGAGAACTCCAACTGTGATCTGAAAGTACAGTACTGTACATGTATAACCAAAGTTTTTTTTTTTAAGAAAACGTAATGAATGGGGAAATTGATGTTTCCCTATGAATAATTGGAAAGAACTTGTTCGAGCGCGCGTCTTTCACATTGCGTTTTGATTATCCAGCTAAATGATCCCTGCTGTGCCCAACTTGGGTGGCGCCGAACCATGTGTCCCGAAGAAGCCCAGCTGGGATTTGAACAAAGCTCCGAAGCATCCATTTTTAATCCTGGTTTCTGGGGCCCACCGAGATTGTGTTATGAATTCAGCTCAAGTTTCGTTGCATACGAAATTATCGAAAGTTTAATGATACACCAACCTAAACTTTTTCATTGTGATAATTTTCGAGGGACGGCTCAGAAGTTTTATGAGGAAGTTGGAATAAATATATTTTATTATTATTTAGTTTACGGGTATGAATCTTCAACCGCAATTTATTTAAAAATTTAGAACGAGTCTTCGCTTGTTTACGTATTGCTTTTTTCACTTTTCATTTACCTATCATAGACCGAGTGGGAAAACTTCTCTTTTACTATCGCTTACACAAATATGGTCGAGAAGAAGATAATTTCCATTCGAATATGATTTTGATATACTGTATGTGAGATGGTCTTGTATCGTATTTTTACCGCTTAAATATTCGGTAACAGACTTCCCGTTAATTTATAAAAACAAGCTCCTCTGGTATGTACACAATATTTCCTCGCAGGCTCGGATGAACTTCTATTTTTCTGCATCATCTTAATGTAACCCGAAAATAGCAAAAAAATTTCAACATTGGTTAAGAAACGATGACAGATAACTCAGTAAAAATCACGTCGATTCAAAAACTCTATAAATGTACACCACGAGATTGACAAAGCTCATTATCGAATTGTGTGCATTCAGCATTTCTTATCGAACATGTAACGCAGCTTAGCAACTATCATAAAAACGCCAGATTTGTAAAAATCTAAATCACTGAATAGTGTGAAAGCAAAGACGTCCTGCGACTGAAAAGAAAAACAAAAAATTTCAAGCGGTAAAGTATGACTCTATTGTACTGTAAATTATTGCGTCAAATGAGTGGAAAAACGTGTTGTTGGAAACCCGACTCTGAGTTTCCCACGGGCAGTTGAAGAATCATTGTTTGAAAAAATTACTGTTTACTCCGAGGTATACTCTCAGCTGTGGACCCAAAGAATATGAAGGGAAAATTCTCGACAGTGTAATAATATTAAAATAAATGAGCGTTTTTTTTTCTACCACGGTAAAGGGAATTTTTCTCCCTAATTCAATTTATTTCAAATAATTCAACTTGAACAAATTGCATGTTGATGTTCTCATTCAAAGTTTTAAAGATAATCTTTAGTAGAGTATAAGTGATCAAATCCGGTTTGGTGTAATAAGCGTCGCAATTTCCATTTATGATGGGATTCCTCTACTACTGATGCGTGTCCGGAACCCAACAGAGAACCCCTTTTGTGGTTCTGGCTGCCACAGAAACAGTTCAAGGACCCCTTCGTCATGGACACGCCCCGTGCCTTTATTCATTCGCAGGTTGTTGGTACTTCGTCATGACTCATCCTTTAGCATTCGTGGCATTGATTAGCATTGACTGTCCTGCTGATGATAAATCATCCGAATGCGATTTCCGCTCATTCAATGAACACGCGGGAGTGTATAATCGAGTCTCCCAGGGAAAAGTTCTTGAATGATGTTAGTTCCGGAGGAAAATTTCGGGGCTTTGCGATGATGAATGAGGCACTGGGTGAAAGAGAAAAAACTTGCCTAGTTTCTGAGGCTGCTTTCATTTTGTGATCCGTTGTTCGGTGCGAACAACGGCGGGAAAAAAAATATAAAGGGAGGAATTTTCGTTCCGCTTATTTTTGTTGGAGCAAAAGACCACTACTTCCGGTAATTTTCCTCCTTCGGTTTCGCGAAAGTCGTGAGAATCTGAATAACTACTGCGTGTATTTTCGTCCTGAGTATTTTTACTTTTTTAAATCGGCGCCTCTGAATTTTCTTGCCGATTTGAGCTGAATGCAGCTATTTTCAAGAAAACGGATCTGAAAATTGTGTCAAGCTTTTTTTTTTCGACGGGAACTTTCGTTTACAGTATCTAAAAATTATATATTTCTATTCAGGAAATTAGCATTGGCAAAAATGGCGTTTGGTCTCTTCGACTGCATTTTTCTGCAATTGATCTCCGATTTTCCGAGAAAATTGGCAGATTTCGAAAGGCGGCTGCCTTTCTTGTCGACGAATTTTCTTAGTGCCTATAAAATTCGCTGCTGCAATCAGCTAAAAAAAAAAATATTTGTCCCAAGAAACGTATCTGAAAGTTTTAAATCCATGGTTTTGAAATAGAAAGTTTTTCCCGAGCTTCTACAGGGTGTTCAAAAAATGCAAGCCAATTTTCAAAATATGAAAAATTTCAATTTTCAGAAAACTCATTTCACGAAGGCGTGAAAGTTGGATTAGAGCTCATGGAATTGCAATTCTATATACTCTCGAATGGTATGTTTGGTGCTGTGTCACGGACATGGTCATTTGAGCTATGAGAAAAATTCTAAGATTTCGGGGGTTTCGTTTTTTCGTGCGTGAATTTTCCACGAATTACACCAGAGAACGAAGCACGAGCTTTCTTCGTCAGATTGATGCTTATTTAAAATTCGACAAAATCTTCAATGCCGCCGAAACCGTTATGTTCTAAGTTCTAAGATAGAAGAAATTGAATGAAAAATGGCCCATTTATTCTTTATACTGTTTTAATATTCCTCTGAGTTACAATCAATTTTCAAAACTGTTGATATGCTATGCTATTTGAATCACCAGTTTCTGCTCATTTGATGATACATTCTGGACTAATGTATCTTCTTCTCTTTGTATTTTTCAGGCGTCTGGTGAAATCCTACCAGTTGAAGAAGAAGGAAGAAGACGAACTGCAGTGAGTATCTTTGCTGACTGTTACCTGAACATTTCATCTCTCTTTTTATTTTCATCTCCATGAAATGTGATCGAAGTTTTTGTTACTGCGTCTGTATGTTAATGATAACTCGGTGGGCTGGAATGAGAAGTGAAAAGGTAGTCCAGGAAACAGCGTGGGTGTAATTAGAGAAAGTGTAATTTCGAACACCTGCTGCTCCTGATTCAACGCCGGACTTGATTGGTCTCCGGGAATTTAGTTCGGTTTCTAAACACTGAGCGAAAGGTAACTATTCGTCACATTTCATCTCTTGATGCACCCAATTTCGAGATGATGTTTTTGCGTGGACGTAGTATTAAACGGTGCAACTGTATTATCTTCTTTTTTTTTTCCTGTCTCTGCGTTGGCTGATTCCCGAATGGCGTGTTGTTCGTAGGTGTGATTTTAATTGGATTGATGGCCTTTTATTCCACCTGACGGCTGGCATTATTTGACCAAAGCTAACGCGTGATGGCATTTGTGGAGCAGATCTGCGGATTAACTGTCCTTTTTTTCTGGATTTCTCATTTCCTTTGCGAGCGGAACGAATCAGTTTCTCATGCGGAACTTTCAAGTAAATTTTTTTTTTTTCTCAGTCGAGTTTTCATGGAGCAATTTCTCCCCGCTTCCGCAGAGAACTCGTCTCCCAAAAATACCAAGGAAAAACTTCGGATTCAGGCCTCTGATCAATTTTGGAATAAGTTCAGTATTTGACATCAGACAGTTTATAATTTTTAAATTTCAGGTTAATATCGGCAGTTGTGAAAGGCCGTGTAAATTTTACTGGATATTGTTGTTAGAGACGCTTTTTTGAATTTGAATTTATGAATATATGTAGAGTGGCCGACATCGGGGTGTATTTCCTGCAGGAAATTTTGGGATTCTTCCTGGAAACTGGCCTGTTCGTCTGTTTTTTTTAACGATAACCATACGGTACTACAATTGCAATTCAGGGGAATAATCGGCTTCCTTGATTTTAGGTCAGCGTAATTTGGTTCGAGCCGAAAAAAGACTTTCTCGTACTTCGTCTTGAAATATTTAAAGTGTTCGCTTTCCCGATTCAAAAAATTGATCATCGTGAGAAAGTGAGCTCTGAAGTTGGTCGATGCTTATCAAGCTTTTAATTGCTTGTGAATTTGTGTTTTGCGTGGAACTTGGCACAGCTGTTTTCGCGGATCAGTTCATTCTATTGCTGATCTGCCGGGTACAAAAAAGCATAAAGACGAAGCCATTTCGTAGTACTGTACTGTAATTTAGTTTCGAAAAACGCCCATGCGCTAAATTTTGAAAATCCGAAGAACCCATTACAAACGTTTCAACTTGATGATTTCAACATCAGTTGACTCGGACTTTTTTCGTGTTGTCGAAAATGAAATTGGCCCCTTTTCTCAAGAAATCCTGTAAACGATATTCAGTTAAACGCAATCTACAGAAAATGTTGGATCAGGTGCATCAATTCTACGTTTGAAACTCGATAGATTTACTGTAGTCTTTTCAGTGCTGCGGGAATTCAAGGCCCAAACGCGAAGACGTTTAATTGCAAATGCGTCTTCTCCGTATTCATAGGTCATGTGAAAGAGAAATTTTCGTCAGTCAGGGCCGTGAAATAAAATTTCTTTGGACCGAAGTAATTTTCCAAAAGCCTTCAAATACAAGAATGCTTGAAACGAGCTTTTGTTCGTTCGCTGAGGATTTTTTTTCCGTTGGGACCATGACTTGATAAACTTCATGCTCATAGCAAACGATTTCAAATTTTTGTCAGCGATTTATGTACGTAATTTTAAAAAAAAAAGGAGTGTAGCAAGTAAACCTAATTTCGTAGTGATCTCTTGCAATTGTGCTGTTTAACTTGCTTGAGGGGAACTTGCAGAATTTACCACAAATTTTCAACTGAGGTATTCCTTAGGAATATCAGGAAAGTTCGCTCTTCTCAACCTATCCTTTCTAGAATACTTTGAAGGAAGCAGATTCTTGTGCGTATGTACAGTTCAAGAATGCTCAAGGTGCAGTGAAAGCAACGAAACAAATTTTGTAAAGCTTTTTCTCTCCTTTTTTTTAATGATGATGTGGAGGATTTCCAGAGCCATTCTTGCTGACTGTTGAAGATTTTCAAACGATCCATAAACGCGTTTCGTTTCTGGATTGAATGGGATACTGCTTTGCGTGTGTCTGCGTCCTCGGGGTGCTCTGCGTCTCGCTGGCTGCTGCTATTCACCGGGGCTCTGAAATAATGAATCGAGCTGGCTGGCGTTCTTCGGCGTGACGCAATCCCCCGGCGCATACGGAATTCCTCACGCGCCGCGTGACGCTGGCGCAAAGGAACCTGCTGCTGGTTCGGTTCCAAGGAGAGATACCGAGAGGGGTGGCCAACGTTTGTTCGCAACAGAGCCCTGCTCTCTGGCTGTGTTATACCTTTCTCACTTTTTTTGTTTTGTTTTGGTGGCCAAAGTAATGTGCAGTTTGTGGCCAACAAGGAACCAGAGTTTCCTTGTTTATTTATATTATTTTCTGAGGGGATCCCTTTGGTTAATAGACTGTTGATGTATTTTCTGGCGTCTGGGGTGAAATAAAACTCTGTGTCCGGGGCTCCCTTGTGATCTTAGAAACCAATTAAATGTCTTGCGAATGCAGTAAAGTACCTGTTTTGGGACAGTGGTCTCCTCAACTCAAGAAAGAAAAATGTGGATCGAGAAGCTTTGGCTTTGCAGAGGTAAAGAAAAGCACAACATTCAGCCTGGGTCTGGCCAAGAACTCTTCAAAATAGAAGTCAACGTATATTTCAGAAAATGTCTCGAAAAAATTTTAATCGCGGAAATTGAAACACGAGTTGAAATAAAAAAGAAAACCTCTGGACAAGTCCTTGCAAAGAATCATGACTTATCTCTGGAAAGATTGAATAATTTGTTGGGAGACGAGAGAACTTTTTTCAGTTTTTTTGTGATGACCTCAATCAAGCACCAGATGAAAAGGAGCATGCCAATTTTTCGCCTTTGGTTAACCAAGAAAATCGAAATGTATCACATTGCGGTGCCAGTGGAAGAAGAAAATATTGGGAGGAGGAAATTTTCAACTTTTCCCAGTTTTTCTTGGCTGGAACGCGCACATAAGAGGTCTTGCAAATTCACGGCTGACGGAACTTCTTAATGTAATTTTTGCAGTAAAAAATTTCCTGAATGGATATATGTCGAATGCATAGGTTTTCCCTATTTTCACTGAAATGCACATTTCCAAGAACGCTGTGCAACAAAATTCAATGAGAAGTCAGAAAAATCTATTGAACCAACCACACAAAAAAAATCGTTTTATGGAGAAAATGGTTGTGGACAAGATCGTTGTACAAGAAAGACTCCACCTGTATTTCACGACGCTTTGCATCGATCAAATCGCGAAAGCATATCTCGCGATTCAATTCGAGGAATATTGACCCAATCTGACCCCAGCCAACTTCCACGGAGATGCTCGCCGAGAGAGGAAGAGGAATAAAGTAATAAATGCCGATTTATGGAGATCGTTTCATCATCGGGAAGAAAAGACTTGGCTGTTGGAAACGTGGCTTTTTGCGCGGGTTGAAGACCCCGTTCGGGCCTCGCGTAACCGCTTGCCTCTTTGATTCTCTCCTCTCTCTCGAAAGGAAAAAGGTTGCGTGAACGGCTGGTGCGTGATTTATGACGAAGGGGGGCCGCAGTTGTTGGGGTTCTTTTTTTTATTTTTGGCGCAGCAGAGTTTGTCTGAACTGGGTGGAAGAAGCGTCCTTCTTCAATTTTCGAACCCTATTTTATGAGCCTGCTCGAAGCCCCCGCTCGCATATTTGGTTAATGGGGGAATTGAGCCTCCGATGGGTGCGGTGGAGATTCGGACGAGAAACGATTCCCAGATTGCTTCATATGAGTGCGCCGCGGGTCAGCTGCAGTTCGTCTGGCGACCTTCAACTTCCCAGTACTGTTTAATGTACTTGTTTTGCATTTTACAGCAGCACGTTGCTTTGTTTTTATTTGGAAAGAGCGCGTGGATAGGATCCCATGAATCGTTTGCATTCTAACTTCTTCTGCTGATTTTGTTTGTACGTTATATTGGGGGAAATGACGCGCGAAAGTAAAAGTCTGTACTGTACTGGAGATTCCGTGAGTCGTCATCTGCAAGAATTACAATGACGAAACTCATTCGCAGAATAACGTATTCATGATTTTAAAAATAATTTTAAGTTATCTTCATTTGGCCGCTTGATATTCGACATTCGAGAAATTTGCTTTGGTTTGGTGGGCGCAAAAATGTGCATGCGGCGTGTACCGCTTAATTTCAGCAGTTCTCTCTGATTTCCTACATGCCTTTGGTCAGACAACAGTTTCTGGTCGCATATTCTCAATCTTTTATTGTATTTTCAAGTGTAGATAAAACAGCTTTTAAAGTAAGCGGAAGTTTGTTTAAGAATGAAATTTGCGGAAACAGTGATGGGAGCCATTTCGTAGAGGTACCTTCTGCAAAATCAGCTTCAGTGCATCATGATGAGTGCAACAATTGAAGGCATCAAAGCTTGGTTTTTTTTTAAATAAATACAGTTGAATCTCGATAACTCGGACCCTCTCTATGTCGAATTTATTTTCAATTCGTTCTCTGAATTCCCTTGGCAACAATGCATTAAAAACTCGAAGGCTTTCCCTCTCAAATCGCTGTGCTTGAAAATTTCCGGAGGCCTTTTGGCTATTCACTTCCTTGACACAGGAAAGATAAAAGCAATATAAGTGTTAGTTGATGTGTTCTGAAAAGAAATGGAAGACTAATTGAGCAAATGAACCCTTGTCTCCAAGTTCAGCATCATGTTAACTCATTGAAGAAACAATGCAATGTCCAGAATATCACAAATTAAAATTTCCTGTTAACCTCCTTTCCTCTCCCAACTCAGTGCTTCTTCCTTTACCTCAAAGCCTCCCTAACTCGAATTGTTGCTGGTCTCTTGAAGTTCGACTTGGAAAGGTTCCAAAGGGGTTC